TCCTCAGCTTGCAGTTCTTGTACCCTTCTAATTCATCTCCCCCTGGACTACTAGAATGGCTTCTCTAAACTTCAAATCTGTGGCATCACACCTCACATTAAAATCTTACTGACTTTAAGGTAAAATCAACATTCCTTAGACTAGGTTCTTAGCAGTCTCTCCCTTACCTTTTTCCCTTATCTCATCTCTCAACACTTACATGCATCATAAACCTTTGACATTTTTTGTTCATTTTTCTTAGAATGCCATGTTCTTTCATACTTCTATGCCTTTACCCAAGCTGTTCCTTCCATCCTACTCCCTTCACAACTCTACTCCTTTCCTTGCCTTGCCTGATTAATTTCTTTCTGTCCTTTAAGATTGAACTCAAAAGTCTCATCTTCTGTTAGCAAAATATATGGCACTTAGTGATTTCTGTATATTAATTTTGTACTCTGCTACCACTGTGAATTATTATATTTTTGTAGAGATTTTAGTTTATTTTTGTCTGATTTTGTGGGTGTAAAATCAGATTGTGCAAGAAGAGTAATACTTGATCCATTCATAAAGTTTATATGTCTCCAATTTCTTTATCTTTAATTTCATTGATCTTCCACCCTCAGTACAATGTTAATAGCCATGTTAATGGATATTTCTTAATTTCCTTAAAATTCTATAGAGTGAATAAACATAAGTTTTAAAAAAATCCTCATCCTCTGAGGATTTATATATATATATCTCACTTAAATTTGAATGAAAAAATAGGGGACCAGGTCAGGTAGCTTTTTTCTATGCATATTCCTATAATGTCCTATTCATATTTTTGTTAGTGTTCTTATTGCTATGTTTGCAGTGCTTCTCAAACTTTTCCACAGAAGTACATCAATGATAGAGGAAATTGTATTGGACCTACAGCCTGCCTGAAATGCTACCTTAATATCATGTCTACTGTCTTAGCCTTAAAAATATGTATAAAATTTACATTTGATTCCATACAATAGGTATTATATTTGGTTTAATATAAAAACATTTTAACTTACTTGTCCTGGAATAAAATTGATCTTGTCCAAGGTGATAATGTTTATCCCAAAATTTCAAGTATTTTCTATAAGCTTTCCTGTTTTGTTCTCCAGTTTCTGTATTATCCAACATTAAATATAATAAATAGTACCCAGTTTATATTCACTATTAATTGAAAAAAATGAATGAATGAATAAAAGTTCAGTTTTGAGATTAATAGTCTTAAATGATAGTATTGTGAAAAATTAAAATTTTAATGACTTTTTCATAGAAAAAGTATGACTAATGACATTGTGAAAGTCATACATTTTTTAAAAATCATTTTCTGGCCTATGGGATATAATGAAACTTTATTTAACTTTCTGTAGTTCTAAGCATAAAATATACATAAAAGATCACATAAGTATTCAGTTCATTGAATTTTCACACACTCAACAATTTCACATAGTTAACATCCATATCAAAAAACAACTTTACCAGCTTCTCAGAAGCCCCTTCATGCTCTCATCTTTTTAACAGCATATATTAGTTCCACGAAATCATTTTATACTTTGGTCAAGACAACAAATTAATTGAATCAAGAATTTCTTATTCTGTGACAAATCAAATTAATGATTTAGTATTCATAATTAGCCAATATTATAAAATAAAAAATAATTAATTTTTAAGTACTAATTATTTTCAGTAGTTTAATTTAGTACTAACCAGAAAACATAATTAAAATTATTTGTAATGACCATTACTCTTATGTACTACACAGCACAAAAATGTAGATAATACACATTAAATAATAATCAGTTTAATTTATACTTTAAGCAATAATGAGCAGTGCATTCTTTTGAGTTCTTATGTATAATTGTCAAATTACCCTGATTTTTGTTTGACTTTTAAAATTTTGTTTAGAGCAGTAGTTCTCAATCGGGAGGGAACCTGACTTTGTCTCCCAGGAGACATTCTGCAATATCTGGAGATCTAAAGACACTCTTGGTTGTCATTATTGGAAGGTGCTACTGACATCCAGTGGGTACAGGCCGGGTTGCTGCTAAACTTGATTCACACAACTACATTCCCACCCCTACCCTCACCCCCACAAAAAATTGTGGCCCAAAATTATTGCTGAGGTTAAGAGTAATATTTTCTAAAGAATGAGATTGTTTGTGTTTGATTCAGTTTAATTCAGGTAGGGTCTAGCACCATACTAATGGAGTCCAAGGTATTAGGAATTTAATTTCTCTAGGCACTAGTTCCATCTTTCTGCAGTTTATGCACCCCAGACCCCAACCAGATGTCTTGAACAGTTCTGCTATGATTACAAGAAGAATGAGATGAGGCAATGTAAAGGAGCTGATAGAAATCTATCACTCTTTCTGGGAAAAAAAGTCTTAAAGCATAGTGTTTTGTACATACTCCCAATCCAGCTCTCCCCATGTTGACTGGTTCTCACTAGGTTGGAATCAGAGTAGTATATGCTTTGACTAGCAGCATTGTTTAATTTTGTTATTAGCTCCCTGACTGAATGGTCTACAGCTTGAGGCAGTGAAAATGGTTCCCTATGGCCAACTTCAACCCCATTTTCTTGCTGTCTGTTGGGAGGTATTAAATGGAGAATCCGGTAGCTGTCCACAGCCATTCATGCATACCCACTCACCCCTGCTGTTTCTTTCACCACTAATTATGGGTCAGAAATGCTACCATAAGTGCTGTAACAATGTTGGAAATTAATATCTAATGAATTTGTTCTTCACAGCTGTTTTTCAGGGGATAGTGTTTTTTTAATACTTTTGTGTCCCCTGTGAGCTTATTCTATTCTTGACAATTTGACCTACCCTAACAAAGAGAGTCACATTTGAGGCATAGCAATATATACCAATTCTGACTTTCATAATAAAGTATTCTCTAAAAGTATTACTGCCCAGCCAGCGTGACTCAGTGGTCAAGTGTCAACCTGTGAACCAAGAGGTCACGGTTAGATTCTGGTGAGGGCATATGCCTGGGTTGCAGGCTTGATCCCCAAGAGGGGACATGCAGGAGGCAGCCAATCAATGATTGTCTCTCATCATTGATGTTTCTATCTCTTTCTCCCTCCCCCTGCCTCTCTGAAATCAATTAAAAAATGAAAGTATTACCATAGAAAACACTACAGTAAACCACAATTTGTATAGTTGGAATTGTAAACCTACAGTAAGTCCTTAAACTTAATGGAGATTAGCTTAGAATTTGGCTATTTGATTCTGCTCATTTAACTGTGAAAGCAAATATAATTGAAAACATTGTGTGAAGAAAAAAAACATTGTGTAAAGAAAATTGCTTGGGCCGAAGCCGGTTTGGCTCAGTGGATAGAGCGTCGGTCTGTGGACTGAAAGGTCCCAGGTTCGATTCCGGTCAAGGGCATGTGCCTGGGTTGCGGGCACATCCCCAGTGGGAGATGTGCAGGAGGCAGCTGATCGATGTTTCTCTCTCATCGATGTTTCTGACTCTCTATCTCTCTCTCTTCCTCTCTGTAGAAAAATCAATAAAATATATTTAAAAAAAAAAGAAAAGAAAAAGAAAATTGCTTGGGACAGTTTAAATAAAATAATGTCTGTTTTGTGTTGTGGCTTGTTTGTATAGATTTATCAGGATTTATCAGTACTTTTTGTCTTCCTAAGAAGAGTTAAAATATTTCATAGGTCTTTAACCCTTTTATAGAAATTTGGTATATTTGCTATTTGGGGATATGTATAGTGGAAAGAGTATTAACCTTCATATCAGATCCAGGTCCAAATTCTGCCACCTATGAACTTTGGCCTTGGACCACTTAACTGCTTTACCACCTGAAAAGAAGGGATACTACTTAAATGACAGTCATAAGAATTAAATAAGATAATCATGTAAAAGAATGGTCAGCAGGAGAGAAGGATAAATATTGTTTGGAGTCATTGATTCATGGGTAAGTGGATAATAGTGGTCATGAGCACAGGGTTGGAGTTGGGGAAACGGGATCTACACTCTGGTTCTGTCATCTATTACCAGCTGTCCACAGGGCCAGCCCCTGTACTCCCGAGGCCTCATTCTCCTTCTTGAAAATTGGTGCTGTTGGTAACTGCTCTTGCCCTGTTCCCCTTATTCTCTACACAATTTGTGAAGTGCTTTAAAAAATAAAACCAATGAGAAAAAAGTAAAGTACTTAAAGTTTGATCCAAATATACTATTTGCATTATTGTAAGCATGTTGTAAGGAAGAATTGAGACCAAAATTGTAAGAAGCAGCCCACAGTACCTGACACAGAATACACACCAGTGAATAAAGTCTGGATTGTTCTGGATTCTGTTGATAAAATATGGTACTTAGTCCCTTTCCTCACATAGTTTATCTGTCTGGTTGATGAGAGCCACACACTCTATTCTGAGTCTTTAAAAATTTGCAGATTGATTAAGTTCTAATACTGCATTGCACTAATAATGTTAATTATTTTTAGTTTATTTAATAATGCTTAGTTTAAATAATGATGATAATTAGTATTAATACTGATAATGCAAATAGTATATTTGGAACAAACTTTAAGTACTTTACTTTTTTCTCATTTTTTTTTAAAGCACTTCACAAATTGTGTAGAAAATAAGGGGGACAGGGCAAGAGCGGAAGCAGACCAGTGAAAGTCGTGGAATAGCGTGCTGCGATGGGCGCCCAGGTTAGGGTGGTGGCAGAGGCAGTAGGGAAAATATGAAAAGACTGTATTCAAAGTTCAAAATTTGATAAAATAATTTTTACTGTTTCATCAAGGATATTCCTAAGGGAAACTGACTATTTTTTTTTTAACAACAAGTATATGACAGAGAAGACTACAACAACTAATAGTATAATTTGTTGCTACTGCCTTGATTCTTGCCAAGACAATAACAGTTTTATCCACCATTTCTTTTGCACCATCAATGCAAAAATCAACACCGTGGAATTATAGTGAATTTTAAAATGCACTATTTTCAGTAACCAGACATCATTTTCATCTCCTTTGGCTGCAGATCCGAATTATCTCATGGCTAATGAACGCATGAACCTGATGAACATGGCCAAGCTGAGTATTAAGGGTTTGATTGAATCAGCTCTGAACCTAGGGAGAACACTGGACTCTGACTACGCACCTCTCCAGCAGTTCTTCGTGGTGATGGAGCACTGCCTGAAACACGGCTTAAAAGGTAGGCATGGCCTCAGTGTGCCAATGTGCAGTCAGCTGCTTCCTAACAATACACATTCAAGAAGAAAAGCATTCTTTGTGGAGTCAAAGAATAAGAGGCTTGAATTAATATTAATCCACTGGAATGCATTTTATATGGATGCAGGCATATGGTTGACTTCAAGGACTTACAGGGCTTAGAAAACACAGATCATTAAATGCTAGAGCTGGAAGGGCCCTTACAAGTATCTAGTCCAGCCTGGCAGTTGTGTTTGACAGGTTGCAGAAGGGACTGGAATGGTATGTGACCTTCCCATAGTCCCACAGTGAGTGGGGCGGAGCATGTGCTAGAACTAGGTCTTCTGACTCTGCTTCCATGCTTCTCCCACTTAACCACAAGCTTTTTAACACAGGACCTGGTCCTGTTCACCTTGGCTTCTCATACCTCCCCAATATTTGATACCTGTTTCTGGAGTATATATTCTTCCCTATTGTACTGTTTTCTTCATTATATCGCACAGCTTTAAGTACTATTAAAGTATTAAATATAGTAATAATACTTTAAGTATTAAAATGTCTTGTTATATTATAGAGCTAGTCCACAAATTCTTCCTGAAAGAGGAAGGACTAAGTCTTGGAAAGTAGGAGATTTTGATTTTCATAAAATGTTACAGATTCTGAAAGCATGAATAATTTCAGAAATATCTGGCGATCTAGGATTTGTTCCCAAAAAAGAGCATTGAATAGATGGGAAGTGTATGTTTGTGTGTTGAGGGCATGTTTATGTTGTAAAGAATATTAAAATACTGCTATGATTTTATATCCTTATAGCTAAGAAAACTTTTCTTGGACAAAATAAATCCTTCTGGGGGCCTCTAGAACTGGTAGAAAAGCTTGTTCCGGAAGCTGCAGAGATAACAGCAAGTGTTAAAGATCTTCCTGGACTTAAGTAAGTGTAAGGTTGGATTCTGTTTGTCAGGGGAAACATTCTTACTAACTATCCCCTTGAAGAGTGGGACTAAGATAATGATGATCATGATAATTTATTTCATAACTATCTAAAATGCATACTGTTGCTACAAATAGGCACTGTTTTGAGAGAACTGGAAATGTAAAATATTAAGAGAAGTATGTCTGAGGGGTAATTGTTATTATTAATCTGAGAGAGATTGTCTTCATGTTCATATACCAAACATGTTCTTATTTATTTTTAATGCACTTGTTGAAATTAGTGAATTTCAAGAAATTAGATCAAGGGAGGTGGCATACTGGACTTGACTTAAGAAAAAGAATGTGTTTGATGGAGTTTGAAAACCAAGATTAAAACAGTTGTCAAATGAACCTCAGGAACTGACACCCGGAACCTACCTTAGAACTTGAAAAAGAGTATTAGATTGGTTTAATTGTAATCAGATGGAAGTCTAAGTGGCCTGTGTCCACATTATTATTATTTGGGTACCGATATGATCCATACTAAATTTATGAAGCTCTACTAGTACTAATCTGATGGAACATTTTCAGTTGAGCCTCCCAGAGGTCTTGCCTTCAGATGGTGGTCTCATTCAGTAATTAATTCTTCACCAGAGCATTTGTCCCAAACACACCCTCTGGGTCCCTCTAACCCTCACAAAGGATCTCATAGGAGAAGTTGTGAGAAGCACCTCAGTGTGCATGTTCTGCTGGGGGACCACTAGCAAGAGTAAGTGAATCTGTCCCACTGTGATCCCTATTTCTGCTACTTTCAGTTGTTTGGTTTCTGTATTATAGGACACCAGTAGGCAGAGGAAGAGCCTGGCTTCGATTGGCATTAATGCAAAAGAAACTTTCAGAATATATGAAAGCTTTGATCAATAAAAAGGAACTTCTCAGGTATGAACATCTTGTTGGATTTTGCTACATTCTTCATCATATAAGGTCAAATTATATAAAATTTATCATTTTTGTACATCAGAAACAAATGGTTCATAACAATTCCACATAGTTCAACTGATACCTTCTCCCACACCTCTCACACACATACTCAGGAATAAGTGTTTTTACATACATGTATTGTCTGTCACTGTGGCATATATATGGCTTTGCAGGGCAGTCCAAAACTTAACACCTCCAGAAAACAGGAAGCGGTTTTTCTTTTAAATACAATTTTATTGATTTCAGAGAGGAAGCGAGGGAGAGAGAGATAGAAACATCAATGAGAGAGAATTATTGATCAGCTGCCTCCTACACATCCCCCACTGGGGATCGAGCCCACAACCCAGGCATGTGCCCTTGACTGGAATCGAACCCAGGACCCTTCAGTCCGCAGCCAACGCTCTATCCACTGAGCCAAACCAGCTAGGGCCAGGAAGGGCTTTTGACCCCTTGGCATGCACCTAGGTTCAATAAGACAGGAAATTGACATGTAATATTAAATCCAAATACAACACACATAAAAATGTTTCTCTAGATGGATCATAGATAAAATGAGAAAGAGAACAATAAAATTTTTGGAAGAAGACATAAGAAGACAAAAATTTCTACATATAGAGGGGGAAAAAATGGATAAATCGGTCTACATTAAAATGAATTTCTGTTCACAAGTACAAATATGTGGGAAAAGCATGAATACTCATTTCAATGAAAATACCATTCTGATCACTTTTCTTTCAGCTGGACTATTTATTATCTAGAGTCTCCTCATGCATCTATCTTCTAAATAAAGTATCCAATCCATTTTTTCACTCTTTTGCTATTATCATAAATGACTACATTCAACTGTGAGGCAAGTGTTTCCCTCCTTGTCTCATGATTACATCATTGGTTCTTGAGGTTTTATTACAATAGAACATTCCATGAATCTCTCTTACAGCGAATTCTATGAACCAAATGCGCTCATGATGGAAGAAGAAGGAGCCATAATTGCTGGTCTTTTGGTGGGTCTGAATGTCATTGATGCCAATTTCTGTATGAAAGGAGAAGATTTGGACTCTCAGGTATGAAAAAGTACTCAGTTACCAAGTGTGTCACTCTGAGTTCCCTTATCTCAGATTTTGGACTGATCAGATTATACCAACCAAATTAAGGGAAATTCTTTAAGTCATACATATATGATTTCCTTTCATTTTGATGTGCATATAAAAAATTAGTTTTTTAGGTGTGTGTGTGAGAGAGAGAGAGAGAGAGAGAAATTAGTTTTTTACCTTCCAACTTGGCTCATTTATGCATTCTAAATGTTCTTCAAATTCTTATTTTGACTGTGATCCCTGTTAAAAATATTTTGCTCAGGCTAAAATATACATATACAGACTAAAGTATATACATACACAGGCTAAATACTAAAAGTAAGTTTAACATGGTAGTTAAGACTCTGAACCCAAACTGTTTATGTTGAGATTCCAGCTTCATTTTCTAGCTGAATATATTTTGTAGTTACAAAGTTTCTTGGTGATTCAGATTCCTTATCTGTAATATGGGGATAAGAAATGCAGTCTCTGTTTCATAGTGATATTGTGAGGAATAAAGGAGTGAGTACATGTAATGTACTTACAGGGCCTGGCACAAATTCATTGCCCAATAAGTAAACCTGCTGCTTTCACTATGACTATCTCTCTCACCCCTTCTGTATGAAATACTACAGTGAATTTCTGTTACATTTTACACTGAGAAAATAGAGAACAGGAAGTATGATATTTTGATGTGGATTTTAAAAAAGAAATAAGCTGAATGATAAAATAGCAATCTTGAAAAATGTAGACATACACCAATGAAAATGTGGAAGAATAGATACCAGAATGTCACAGTGATCATCTTCAGTTGGTTGGGACTGTGGGTGTCTTGTATTATTCCTTTTGCTTATCTGTATTTTCTAAAACTTCTAAAGGGGATACACATTATTATTGTAACTATAATTTTAAAAGTTATTTCTAAAAGTGAACATAGTGATTCTGTAGCAAAATACTTGAAATAAACAAAAGAGAAACTTTAAACCTCAAATTCATATTAAGTATTCTGTTGACTTTCTTAGTCTTATCTGGGCTTCTAGTCCTATTGACTTAACCTGAGTCTTTACTTAGAGCCCTTATCAATTCTTGATTATAATAAAAGTAAACATTAAAATGTCATTTAAAATTTTTAGTAATTGTCATGACTATATAACTGTTTTGAGTATCTAGAATGAGATGTGTTATGCCTTGGAGAAAAAAATCTAATTTTATATTAAATTCTGAAAATTCTCTCTGTAGGTTGGAGTTATAGACTTTTCAATGTACCTCAAGGATGGGAACAGCAGTAAAGGTAGTGAAGGGTATGTACAAAGAAAATTAGGTTTCTTTCTTATTTAATGTTCTTTGATAATATTTAAAGTTTACAACAATACTACTTTTTATCAGACTTGCCGAAGAATTTCTAGTGGTTTAGCTTTAATAGCATCTTGCCAAAACTGTCTGTTGTGTCTGCTAAACCCTAAAAGGGGTTGTAATTAAAGTGATTTTCCTGCTGTGTGGTTCAGGGGAAAACAGAATGAAAAATTTTATAAGATGAGCCCAATGCTCCATCTCTTCAGATACTATTTGAAAATATGGTCTTTCTTGATGAGAAGGATTACATTCTTGGTTTGCTTAAAATTTACAATATTAAATATGCATCGTGGGGTTATGTAAAATGTTAATATTAAAGGGGAGTATATGGGAACTGTGCTACTTTTACAACTCTTGTAAATCTATAATTATTTCACAATAAAAAGTTTTTTAAAAGATTCATATACTACTTAGAAATTGGAGATCAAAAGCACACCTTATGCCTTTTATAAATTTAGCAGTTGAAAGCATAATTATTTTGAAGTTTTCAACCTTGGACATTGAGCTAAGATTATATGGCTTGTTAAGTAGTTGTAGAGGTCTGTGACCTTGATTTTACCTTCAGTTGAAAAGTCTAGCTGTTTAATTTTGCCTGTTATAGATTAGTTGGTTTGAAAAGTAAACCTCCCTTTTCACACTTTATTTTTTCATGTGATAATAAACCCTTGATCTTTATGAAAACCTTTTTATACCATTCATTTTGAAATTCAAATGACATTTAAAGGCAAATATATATCCTTTGAGAACAACTATTACACCAGAGGAAGCTTAATTCAATTCCTACAACAAATGGAAAATTGTTATAAAACTAGTGAAGCTAAAAAAATCTGTCAGCTGAGAGAAGAAAATGTTTATTCTTTAAATACCTCTGACAGATTGTAATGTTATATCTATTACCTAAGTTATGATGTGTGTAAGCTATAACAAGGGCTTTATTAATATGGAGTTTTGCGTGTCTTTTTTAATTTTTTTAACCTTCAAGTCTTTCTTGTTGATGTCGAGGGGATTATACATCAGGTCTGTCTTCTGATTGAGTATCTATGCCACAATTTCCTTTCTATGTTTTATGAAAAGACTGGGGGAATGGGGATCTTGATATTTCTAATATTATTTATTTTATTTCTATTTTCTCTCTCTTTCCCCCTTTTCCTCCAGAGATGGCCAGATTACTGCAATTCTGGATCAGAAAAACTATGTAGAAGAACTCAACAGACATCTGAAGTAAAGAATGAATAAATATTATTACTTTACTGGGGTGTTTGTTACAAGGGAAGGGAAGGGTAAACTGGTGAGCAGTGAGGATAAATTGAGATAATACTGAACAAATGTATGTAGAATTCCTGCTTTCCAGCCACTTAGCTAGACACTGGAGAAATGGCATTTAATTGTTTTGGTGACCTTTAGTGAAAGGCAGTAATAAGATTAGTATGTAATTATACTTCTAGTGATTAAATAAACACATTGTTAAGATTCTTAAATATGTGATATATGGTAAGTCCTCATTTAACATCATTGATAGGTTCTGTGACTTTAAGCAAAACAATGTATAACAAAACCAGTTTTACCATATGCTAATTGACATAAACAGGAGTTAAGTTCCTACAGCATCAAAACAACGATGAATGAAATTATGACTTGAGTACCTACCGTTTACAGTTGAAATTGGCCCTTTTGATCCAACCACATATTTCAGGACTAATCTTGAGTAAACTACTCATTGCCTTAGTATCTTTAGATTAATCATATCTCATTGGTCCCTTGTATTTCTCACTTATATATTAAATTGATAGTATTAATTTACCCTGTCTTCACCATCACTACCATTAATTTACCAAGTACTCACTAAGTATTTTTCAGAACTCTCCAGAACTTGAAACAGTCTTCTCTCCACTGAGGCGATAAGCCAAAAATTCTTTGTTTTCTCAAGTAGTACATTTATGTTCTAAAGCAGGGATGGGGAACATCTGGCTTGAGGGCTATATAAGGCCTTCGAGCCATATAAGGCCCGTGAAATCATTTGGTCTGGCCATGCCAAGGCATTAGGGGTGTGTTAATTAAATGTTTGACCAAATATAGCAGACTAATTTTTAAGTTGGTAATTTTGGATGGCCCGTGAATGATGTTATAAATATCCAAATGGCTCTTGGCAGAAAAAAGGTTTCCCATCCCTATTCTAAAAACTGTCAAATAATTAAGGAGAATTAACATATCTATTATTATCTTACTTATAGTTTTCCTTATGAAAGAATCATTTTAATTTAAATAAAGACCATAATGTGATTATATCAATATCAATTTATATTGTCTTGGTTCCAGCTAGAAAACTCAATTTAAGTGCAAATTCAATGTAAGAGCTAATAATGATTACAGTGAACTATGGAGATGTTAGTTAAGCAAAGGTATGGTTATAATTGACAATGAAATATAAGTGTGACACTATTAATTTCCTCTTTCCATGCCTTAGTTTCTCTCTGTAATTGGGGATACCTAATGCATAGGGTAGTGGAAAGGAGTAAATGAAATGATGCAAGTAAAATCATTTGAAGAGTGTTTGGTGTGTGGTAAGCGTTTAATTCATGCAGCCTATTATTATACATGGTTTCCAAAAAATGTATACGCAGTTTGAATAATTATTCATTCCTATGGGTTAAATCTAAAAAGAAAGAAACATTGAGCTATCAGCTATAAGCGTGTATACATTTTTTGGGGTACCCTATACAGAAGTAAAACTTAAAGTCTACTGTATAGTGCATTTATTCTTTTATTTCATTCAACCAGTCCTTATTAAAAACAAACTTCAGTGCCAATGATGAAGCTGCTAAGACATAGCCCCCCGTGTAAGTTATCTTGGAGCTTGCAAGTCTATAAAAAATCATGGGCATTATAATGAAAAGTGTGATGGATGTTTAAAAGGACGTACAGGATATTGTTCTATTTCTCAAAAGAAACCATTATGTTTTTTCTTCTCTTGATAGTGCTACTGTAAACAACCTTCAGGCAAAAGTGGATGCACTAGAAAAATCGAACACTAAACTGACAGAGGAAGTAAGTGTTTTGGAAATTCTTTGATTGAGTTATAGAATTTAGTAATGTGCATTAGTGGCAAGTAATTTCCCTGGAGCCATGGAAATAAAGGACTTGACTTTTCAGATAATGTCTAATATAGAACATAACTCTTTGTTGTGGTTAAGAATGGCCAGCTGGCTTATGTCAGGGGTCTCAGTTGTACAGTTGGACTACTGGCCTAGAACCTAGGCTGATCAAATATCTTGCTTTCTTTTGTTTTGTCTCAACTAGCCTAGAGTTCATGTTTAGCATATAGCCTGATATTCACCATTTATTCATTCAGCAAACATTTTTGGTGCTAGAGGTAGACAAAGATTCGTATGTGCCAGGCATTGATTTATGTGTGCCAGATTGGCAGCTCCCCACCTTCACAGGCCTGATCTTCTCCATGGGTGGTGAGTAGATAACACAAAGAGCACTGGTCAGAAGACCAGTGACCCCTGCTTACATGACGTGCCGCATGTCATGTGCTGCTGCACAAGTCAGTCACTTGACTTCCAAAGGCGCAGTTCCCTCACTAGCAGATGAGAGTATTTACACTTCCCCTTTCAGCCTCACAATTTCTCTAGAGATCAGATAAGAATACATATGTGAAAACTTTTAGTAAAGTCCCTAAATAAAAAGAGAAAAATAAGTTCATGTTTCACTTCTGATTAATATATTTTTCCCTAACCTACCAAAGTCTAAGCTACATTTCCCACCCCACCCCCCCACCCCCCAGTGGCATTAGATGTTTCTTTTTAAAACCTTAAATAAAATTTTCCAGGTGGCAAAGACTTTTTTACCTTCTCTGTTTCTAACTATTCTGCAGTGGGGTAAATATGATTTCAATAAAACCAAGTTAAAATAGTAACTAGGAAATGCTGTTTAATCTTTTTTTCCAGGACAAACATTTTCATTGTTACAACTTTAAAACACCTTTCTTATTCACGATGCAGTGTGCACATGATGTTTTGTTGAGTTGTACACATGAAACCTGTATGGTTTCATGAACCAGTGTTATCCGAATAAATTTAATTTTTAAAAAAATAACACCTCCTTATTACTCAGCTCTGTGGGCTTCATTTTTTAGTACAGATTCTTAAATTATATTAAAACTCTAATTTATGGATATGGCCTTTAGAATTTGATCCCACCAGGCTTTCAAAATATTCTGCACAGAAATTCTGTACTGTGATTCTACTGCTATTATATTGAGGCACTGTAGCATGACAACTAAGCATGCGCTCTAGAGCTAGACTACTTGAGTTCATGTCCCAACTCTGGCTTTCTAATCCTGGGCAAATTACTTAAGCCTCTATTCTATTCCTTGGTTAGCTTATCTGTAAAATGGGGATGATAAGAACAATAAGATTTTTGTGCAAATTAAATGATTTAATACGTAAGGGCCTAGACCAGTGCCTGACACATCACAGGCACTTAGTATAAACATACTTGTTAATTTTATTCCCTCAGTCACAAGATTGTCCTCCTGATCTAGATTTATTTTACTAAATATAGTAATTTATTTATTCATTGACTTAATTGTTTTACCAATAAGATTTATTTTCTTGAAACTTTGAACGTTTACCGTAGAGAGAGGTAAGCATTGTGTATACGCTTAATAAAGAGCAGAGAAAGCTAATGAGGCCTGCCTTTTCTCATGTCCATCTATTTTGGATTTAAGAGGACGAGTGTTAAAAGTAAAAAAACAGACTTTTTGCCTCCTGAGTTCTGAGCCAACATAACAAAATGAGAAGAATTAAGCAGGTAACGGTATATAAACATGCACTCTGTTGTGCAGCTGATTTAGAAAGCACATTTGGATCTGCAGTCATCATCTCCTAACATTTTCTCTGATGCTGAGACCTTGGCAGAAGCTGTCTGAGGGTGCACTTGGCTCTAGACCAGAGTTACTTCTTCATGCTCCATCAGGTCACGAAGCAGACGGAGAAATGGGCTTCCAGACTTGCCTCTAGAAAGCATGCCTGAGCCTAGCTCCCCTGTCCTCACGTGTTAGAACAGGAACCAAACAGAACCTGCCCCACTGCCAGTGCAGAGATAATAAAAAGCGGTCCAGGCCTGGCCAAGAGGAGTCTGCCCATTTCCGTTCCCAGCCTCATTTAGACCCCTTCACTTTCTCTGTGGAGAATACAGGTCAGTAGGTACAGAGAAGGATAAAGTGTTCCCACTGGACTTTTCCCTCCTGCAGAATGAGGATAACAGTGTTTCCCCTTAGCTGCATTCTGCTAATCACATCACCTTATCTTTTTAGGTGCTGAAATGAAAACTCTCTTAAGTGCTTAATGGCATCTTCAAGAACTTAGGAGCTCATTTCTTTACTCTTGTAAAAAGTCTAATGGAGGATTCATAAGATGGATCCCAAGGCATGAGGTGACCTCTTAAATGCTTTAGAAATGGGTGTTGTAATTAATATAAATTATCCATGAGGACACCCTTAAGGTAAATGATATTAACATTTTGGTACTGAAATAAAGTTTACACAAAGAGCAGCAAAAGGAGATATTTTAAATTTGAATCTAAGCTACTTTCAAAATATTTCTTCTAAGTTCCTTATAAGGACATTTTAATGGGGTTATAAATAGCTTTCTTTTCTTCTAAGAATAGCTAATCCTGAAAAATCATGGCCTAGCAGATCATGAATTCTCCTATCCTGGTTAATAAAAGAAAGATAAAAGATTATTTTATTCTAATTTTATCAACAGCTTGCAGTTGCAAACAATAGGATTATTACCTTGCAAGAAGAAATGGAGCGAGTTAAAGAGGAAAGCTCCTACATACTGGAATCCAATCGGAAGGTAATCTTACTAGATTTATAAAATATTCCTGGAGAGAGTGTCAGTGTTGGTGGGGGAGCCTCTAGAGGAGTGTTTGGAAGCAACAAGCATTCACATAATATCAAACTGTTTTTACTGCGGCTTCACGCAAAACTGGGGAACAGTGAAGGTTAGGGGAGGGTGGTGCTCCTTTTACAGATGCTCCTTCACTTCACCGCCATCTACATCTGAAACAGTCTAATTCAGTTTCTTGTTTTTATGTACTAAAGATTTGTGCTGTGTTTAAGTGTTAGATTTGCTATATTAAATGTACCATTGTTTTAGACCATTTTACTGTTTTGTAAGAAGTGTTTATGTGATACCACTGGGAAAGAGTTTCTTTGTTAATGAACGTTCTAAATAACTTAATTTCATAAAGTATCAAAGTTTTTATATATGTCTAAACAGATATGTTGCAAGCCTTTTATATATTGTACAATTATAAGCCTTCTTAAGTAGAGGATGTAATGTAACAGGTTTAGCTCATTGATGACTGAAGATCAGAACTATCCACATTGGCAATTCTGCACTAAATTATAGTGGTGCTACTTTAGGGAGCTGTTGAGGTTGATAGAGCTTCTAGCACTGAACCTAAATATTCCCAGATGGCTGTGGGTGTAATTTTCTGTCTGTCGTGATTTTGTTGGCATTTCTTCATACTGCTGGTAGTATTGCTATCTCTAGAAAGGTCTTCCTGTTCCCTTGTATCCTCATGCTTCTAACCTACTGTGACCTAGGAACCCTAACATCCAGTTATTAAAATGGTTCCTAAAAAGTAACTAGGCTGAGTGAGGAACAAAGTCATTTTCTAAGAGTAACTTTTGACTTTAATGCGTGGACTTTGTGAAAAAAACTGTGACCGATCTGAAGAATTTTTTGATGACTTCCTTACTTTTAGCTGTGATATCTCTGGATGGTTAGAGATACCAGTTGTAAGATCTCTGGAGAAGGAATATATTCCCAATTGAACATTTGGCCCAATTCATAGTTGACAGTGAATACTGTTTTGTTTTTAGAGGCTGATTTTTAAAACTTCTACTACTTGGTTTGGTAAACTATCTAAAGACTTTAAACAAAATAGAAAGAAATCCTCAATTCAGCTTAAGAATTTGTAAGTTACTAACCCTCTTCAATTTCTTTGTTGTCTTTATTCATTGTTGTATCTGCTTAGGTTTGATCATTTTCTCTTAATAAATAGGAGTGCTGGTGTTAGCTAACTGTATAAATTCTTTATCCTTAAAAATGTACTGTTTTATTTATCATTTCAAGGCTCCTAAGCAAGACAGAACTTCAGAAGGGCAAGCACTAAGTGAAGCAAGAAAGCATTTAAAGGAGGAGACACAATTACGACTGGTAAACTTCATTTACATTCTGATAATTCAGAAGACTGGCAGAATGTAACAGCTTGCTTAGGGGTTTGTCTTAGACCAAGACCAGGAATAGCAGTAGTGTACTGACACATTTTTATGCATCCTATAAACTGTTTCTCACTCTTGTTAACCCATATTCCCTATAATGCTTTCTCAGTCCATTTTCTGAGTATTCTCAACTGCAAATAAGATTTTGCAATCTTTATTTACTTGCTTTTATAGTTTGTATTGCAAAAACATTAGGTATATAGTAACTACTTTATAAACTCAGCACTCCCTTCTCCCCACCTAGTCATCACTCCTGTGAAGATTCTGATATGTCTCCTTGGAGGGGGCATCTTCTCGCCTCATCACTAAGAGCCATTAATGTAGAATTGTATTCTTTTATTTTTAGCTGTTACTTCTAATTTATTCTTGTTCTTATACATAAATAGAAAGATGCGTCATCAGTGTTAGTCTTAAAATATTTTGAGACTCATATGTATTATGAAAAAAATACATATGAGAATGTATAATAAGGAGTAATATTCTTGAACTGCATTTTATACAAGTATTAGTGTACTAATACACCCCTGGTATTAATATATTAATTCTTCCTGCAATTTAGATAGTATGGCAAACAAAAGAATCCACCACCACCACCCCAGTAGTGTCTCTAACAATAAGGAAAAGGCTGAAAATAAGGAGTGAGCCTTATACACTAATAGTGTATAAAACAGAATTTCAGATTTTCTGAGAAAATAATACTGTTTTGACATCCTTGAAATAATTATCATTTTCCTTCTATGTGTTTGTGAATTGGATCTCAAAATACTTTCTACAGGGAAGCTCCTACAAATAATATATGGCAACTTTATAAAAAGCAGTCTAATCCAATTTCTGTCGTGCTAACCATGTTAGAGGAGTGCCTCAGTTAAGCAGCATGTGATAAAAATTTTACACAAAATTTTCCACATCCTTATGTCACAATAAGATAAATGTTAAAAAAGGAAAGAAGCCGTAACCGGTTTGGCTCAGTGAATAGAGCATCAGCCTGTGGACTGAAGGGTCCCAGGTTTGATTCCAGTCAAGGGCATGTACCTTGGTTGTGGGCACATCCCCAGTAGGAGGTGTGCAGGAGGCAGCTGATTGATGTTTCTAACTCTCTATCCCTCTCCCTTCCTCTCTGCAAAAAATCAATAAAATATATTTAAGTGAGTAAATAAATAAATAAGGAAAGAAACAAAGCAAGTAGGCAAGGTCCTAGCTGTGCCTTGGGATAGCCTGAATGCAGAAGAACCTCAGGAGTTTATAGCTTTGATCATCCGAATAATGTTACAGTAATAATGGTTGGAATAAAAAGAGGCTCATGTTAAGTGAATCTAAAAATTAAGTTAGCCATATTGACTATTCACAGTAATTGAATGTTACCCTGGGAACCCACAGTATCTTTTTTATTTCTTGGGCTCTTGAATATGTCAACAATATCCAAATTGAAGAGAATTACAACTGCTTCATTTTGTACTGGCTACTATAACGGTATATAAATATATATGTTCACTAGTATATATATATATATATATATATTTAAATAATAAGACATGACATTAGTTGTCTATCTTAATATCTGATGAAGTACCTCAGGTATGTGTGTATTTTATTTATTTATTTATTTATTTATTTATTTATTTATTTGTGTGTGTGTGTGTGTGTGTGTGTATTTTAGACATATTAAATAGCACTACCTTTGGCCTATTAAGCCCTTCAGATTTGTAAATTACCGAGTAAATGTTATTGTAATTATCCTAATTATTCCTGTCATTAATGTCTCTGCATTGAATGAGAGCTTATAGCTATTTTGTCAGAATATTCAGACCTGAGAGTTTGGTGTACCTTTTCCTGTGGAATTTTTTGGTTTGTGCATAGATGAGAGAGAGTAAGCACTTCCTTTACTCTTGGGGCAGGATGTTGAGAAAGAACTGGAGATCCAGATCAGCATGAGGCAGGAGATGGAGCTGGCCATGAAGATGCTGGAGAAGGACGTCTGCGAGAAGCAGGATGCCCTGGTGTGTCTGCGGCAGCAGCTGGATGACCTCAGGGCTCTCAAACACGAACTTGCCTTTAAGCTGCAGGTGAAGGAAACAGGAACTGACTCTCTGCTCTCTAAAATCCCAGGGCTTCCCTTTGCCCCTCTTGTTTAGAATCACACTTTAAATACCAGAAGAAAGAGCCGCATCTCATTTTGAGGCTAGCTGCTCGTAAACCACTTTAGGAATCTGACCATTGCCATGGCCACTTTCCAGATTGTGAGATAATTTCTATTCTGCAGTCTAACCTACCAACTGAGTTATATATTCTATTAGCTTTTATACTGGAATATGCTAAATTGATGAACCTTCTGGTGTTGATTTTTGTGAAAAAGATGCATATAACACTACTAATTTTAAACATTGCTTTTTGTTTCTTCTACACTTGGGAATTAAATAGTTCCCAAATATATGAGCATTTCTATTTCTCTATTTCCCACATACCATTAGGTTCAAAAGGCATGTGAGATTTTTTTCAGGATTTTATGTTGTATATACATCACTCATAATTCTTTTCCATAACAGAGTTCAGACTTAGGAGTAAAACAGAAAAGTGAACTAAACAGTCGCTTGGAAGAGAAGACCAATCAGATGGCTGCTACCATTAAACAACTTGAACAAAGGTAAAGTTTCTTTAGAAACACTTTGGGCCTACAGTGCTGGAAGTGCAGAGAATGTACTATGCATTTGGCAAACAGAAAGTATGTTCAATTCTCCCAGCTTAACATCAGCATGCTCGCAGAGAGAAAGCTGATAAAAGTTTGTGTTGTCTAAGATGTTGCTGAAAACGTTTATAAAAAACATTAGTCTTTCGTGACTGTTTTGAACAGCAGAACTCTAACCCTCTCACTTAATCCCATTTCAATGCCATGTGTTAGGGGAGGGATACTTAACAAGGATGAAAGGGCTTTCAAATATGTTTGTGATTCTACTGTTTTATTGTTCATCACTAAAGTCATTAAATACTTTGGTGCCAGGTGATACAGGGGTACTGAGGGCCCTGCTAAAAAATTTAACCCCTTTCTCTCCTTTCTCCTGGACAGTCCTATAGCTTCCACTGTCACCTCATGCCCATGACTCTTAAATCTGTCTCCAGCTCTGTCCTTCAGTCTTGTATTCTCATTCTCTGACCAGCTATTTCCTTCTAGTACCCACCATTCATTAAGTACATCCTCTCCCTATGCTACTCTTTTGTTTCACTTTTGGTTTGAAAACACCATTTTCTTCCTAGTGCCAAGAGAAGTGGCTGAGACTTCAAGCTCAAATGAGCGACCACAGCCACGGTCATTCATTGTTGCCAGCCTGTGTTGCCACCTTTACCCCCACTGATCACCCTTGCACTTGAGCAAAACTAAACTACCAACTGGTCCCTGGACATGCTTCCTATTTTTCTCATCCATATCTTTTCTAATAGTTCCACCAATTAGAAATGCCTTCCTCTCCCCACTTCCTTGTTCTTCAGATACATTTTTTTTACATTCAGGTTCAAAGGTGACTTTTTTAAAGCTTCCTCTAATACTTCTTCCCAGATAAAAATAATCTGCCAAGTCTGCCCTTGGAACTCCCATGGCCTTATATCCATACCTCCCCAGACTGCTTGTAACACTTCTCATTTCTGCCTTACCTCATACCCTTGATATATGTATTGTATCTTCTAGTGAGAGTGTGAACTCCTTAAGGTTAGTTAACTAGTTGTTTAAGTTCCCTCATTGGATCTGTCACAGTGCCTTGCATTTACAAGGCATTCATTTAGTAGATGCATGAATGAATGGATGAATGCATGATGTCTTTTATTCAGATGATTCTTGACCAGTAGGGTCCTGAATGGCACTGAATATTAATGTTAACTCAAAAGTTATTTGCAAATTAATAAAAAAGCTTGAAACCTCTGGTTTGGCTGATTTTAAATAAAAAGATATCCATCTATCCAGGAAATTATCTAAGTTCTTGCTCATAAGCAAGTATGTGTTTATGATTCAACAAATCAATTTTAGTGTTCATAGATTATGTGTTTGAAGTGTATAAAATTCGTTTTCAATGGTTTTTTGACTTGGTGTTTAAAGCAGACAATTAAAATAATGACATCTCTTCAAATATGCTGACTTACTATCTTGCTATTTTTCTCTTTCCTGTTTATTCATTTTCTCATTCCCCTTTCACTCCATTTTTATTTTTATTTTCTTAATTTAGTGAAAAGGATTTGGTGAAACAGGCAAAGGCCTTAAATAGTGCAGCAAATAAATTGATCCCCAAACATCATTAGGCATTTTGCAGCTTGTCACCTCGCAAGTCTGATGTCACAACAGAATTGTAAAAGGAAGAAATCTGAAAGCTATTACATTTGGGCTCCGATTCATATAAAACATCACCAAAAATTGACTTTGAATTTATTGGACTTTTAAAAAACAACAATTTGATATATAGGCTGTGTTTTTTCTTCTTACTTTCTCCCCAGAGTTAGAAAATTTAGTGTAAGTTCTCAGTTAAATGCCAAATAAACTTCAAGAAATTACTTCTGAGTTGACCAATAAATAAAAAATTCCATTTAAAAAAGAAGCCTAGGGAATTGAAGCTTTGTACACATATTATTGATGCTTTGCAACCCAGTACCTGACAATATCAGATTCTAGATGCATTGTCTATATCAACAAGCCTGTTCTACCACTGCGATATAATGAACTAGAGGTGACTATGGGCCTGGACTCTTCTAAAGTAGTTCTGTGTCTCTTAGGCCATGACCCCTTTTCACTTTTGTTATGTAGATTTAATCCCCAAGACAGGATAAGTCTTAGTATTTTACTGCAGTTCTATTCTCTATAACCAATATTGCTTGCAACTTTTTTGCCTTAGTGACTTCCTGGGGTGGGGAAAACAGCATCCTTACATTTCTATAAAGTACATAGAGATAAAATTAGCGATTAGGTAATTTATAATAGCATAATAATGTGGAAGCTTGGAAAAACCCTCCTAATATTTGTCATCTTCTACCTCTGCCATTTTCTTGCAATTCCACTCCCTCTTTAGGTAGTTTAGAGAGAACAATTTTAATAAAAATACTCCCCTCCTATGAAAAAATACACTACACATATTTTAAATCCTGCTTTTCCTTTTGGAGTAAAGACAACCAGGTATTGACACGAGTGGTGGTTTCCTGCCTGTTATTCCATGCTAGAAACATTTTCCTAAGAGTTTCTGTTATTTTTTGTTTAGATGGGGATTTGCCAAAGTTTCTAGGAAACTAACAATCTAATTATTAGGAAATCATTCCAGAGTGGGAAATAGATAAATGATAAAAACAATCTTTATTATTTAGTCTAAAAATAAAGATTCCCAATAGGTGTCCACAAACAATAATAAGCAGGGCTTATTTCTCTAAGTGACCACAGATTTAACCCTTTCTGGATTCCATATTGTAAATAATCCAATAAATAATGTAATTTTTTTTAAATGGCTTTTGAATTTTGGGGGACAGGCTAAATAAGCCTTTATCCCTTCAAAAAGTCATGGCAAATGTTTTTTTTTTCTCTTTTTTCATTCTGTTATTGCAGCATTTCAGCTGCTTAGGTTGGGACAAAAATAATCCCTTTGCTTCCTGCCCTGAAATTCATACCTTCCTGGAAAAAAAACAGAATTAAGAGAGTAAGCTAGATTTCATTTATACTTTTACAGGTCCTTGTAGACTTGAACCAAAGTCAAATCAAAGAGCACAGGAGCAACCCTCATGGAAGATCCTGTGCTCTTCAACTCATTTTATTTCTTATAATTTTGCACCTATTTTTATCTTCATCAAACTTTTGTGGTAAATTGCCTTTTCTATGAGCATTCAGGAGTGTCCAAACACCAAAATAAAACATTTTTAGAGACTACACATAGTATGCTTCCAAATTCTATTTTATAGGGCCCTGGATATTTCACCTCTTAGAACATGCTTCTTTATAGGTGCAAAGTTATAGAATATATGGAAGAAAACATTCATCAGAATCTCCCAGAGAATCTGGTCAGGAATTCTGTGCAGGCCCAGGGCTGAATTGCTTATCCAATTACACACCACTTGGCAGGAATAGAAAAGGAAAGAGATGGCCAAATTCTAACAAAGGCTTCTCCTTATATAATAACCCGAAGTCTGGGGAAGGGTTGATATATAATGTCCAATGGTTTAATACAATTTGTGGGTTAGGGGAAGGACCAGGAAAATGTTCCAGTTCCATATATAAGAAGGTAGTTGCCCATTTGCAAGTTCCAGTTGTGTGTATAAAATAAATATAAAGTACCAAACCAATTAGGAAATAAAAACAACCAAAAAAAGTGGATTTAACTTTAATTACTGTGTGCTTAAGGTTGGCTTTGGATATGGATTTTCTAAACAGTGGTGTTTTGTTGTTCATCATCTAATGGCTGTAAACTGTAGTACTAGAATAAAAAAAATGGAAAATCACTTTTCTTCTGCCTGGTTCACCTTCATCTTGCTTTTCTTGAGAATTTGTTTCTTCTCCATCTTTTTCCCCCATATTTTCTTCCCCTGTGTCCTGCAGAATTTTTGTCTTCTCTCTGTCTCTCCATGCCTTCTTCCTTGGGTTGTTTTATGTTGTGCTGTGAACTTGGTCTTCCTCCCCACCGTGGCTTTTGTTTTTTATCACAAGTTCATGTGGCTCACATCCAGATTGCGCCAGGCCGAGCGAGGCCGCCAGTCTGCTGAACTGGACAACCGGCTCTTCAAGCAGGACTTCGGAGACAAGATCAACAGCCTGCAGCTGGAAGTGGAGGAGCTCACAAGGCAGCGGTGAAGAGAGGGCGCTGCAATCGACAGGGTGGTTGTGGTAATTCTAAGGCTGGACAGTGCGAGAAGGGGGTCTCGTGACCCAGCTATCTCCGTTCTGTCTCTACAGTGCCTTTCTCTGACATTAGAACTCAGAAAGCTTCACATACCTCAGCATCCCCAAAATCTTGTCGACATCCTTTGTGTTCAGAGAATTAGGGAGTTACAACCCAAGGTCCAAGATACACAAAAAAGAGTAAGAGAATTAATAGCCAACATAACACTAATAATAGCATTTTTTGAATTCTCACTGTGTGCCAAATACTTCACTGAGCACTTCACATGCATTCTCTCTTAACATCTCCCCATCAAACCTATTAATAGGTGATCGTATTACCTCCACTTTCAGATGAAATTAAAGCTTAGAGGGGTTAAATTTGTCCAGATTCACACAATTAAGCTAATAAGTGCGACATTCTAATTTAAAAAGCCTGTCTCTCACTGACTCCAAGCCCTCAACTCACTTTTCCATATTATCTCTCAGAGGCTCGTTTCTGTGCTAAAATCACTGACTTCAAACAAATAGAATGTGGGTGTTAGGTTGAAATGCACATAGCTGCTAAGGACACGTGGTTGAAGATGTAGCTGGGATTCACTCCTATACCTGTAGGAAGAGACAGTTCGTTCATATGAAATGGGACTTCAGTGTCAGTGCTTTCATACTGAATCTGCTGAAAATTTATAAATACTGTCTTTCAATTACAGTAAATCCTACTAATTGCCATTCAGTTGACCACAACTCTTCATTAAGAGTTCATATTAAGCCGAAACCGGTTTGGCTCAGTGGATAGAGCGTGGGAGATCCTAAACCTAGTTGTCCATATATAGGGTAACTTTTTATTAATCAAGTATTAAAATTTTATTATTAAGCTTTAAGAAAAGGGTTTGGGATTCTTAGTCTAAGAAAGACTAAACATGTTGTATGTATTTTAGTGTTACTGGCTTTATTTTATTGTATTTTAGTACTTTAAAAACTAGTTTTCCATATATAGGGTAACTTTTATTAATCAAGTATTAAAATTTTATTATTAAGCTTTAAGAAAAGGGTTTGGGATTCTTTTTAGAATGATTTCAGAACTCTAAATGTTCATCCTTTTCCTCTCCAACCTATCCCAGGAACCAGCTTGAGTTAGAACTAAAACAGGAAAGAGAAAGAAGGTTAAAGAACAGCAGGAGCATCCCAGGAAAGAGTTCCCAGAAGCCAGAACCCAAAATGGTAATAATTGTTTCTCCCTTGTTTGTTTGTTTAATACTTAGAGACTACCTTGATGGGCTGGACAGTTTCCTCTCATGGAACACGTGCTAATTGCTGTGGCCTTGAGCATGTAGCTAGCAGGCTAGAGCTGAGTGGACACATGAGTGCTTGATTCTGGATCTATCTATGAGGCGCTCTCACTTGATTTCATTTGGTAAAGGGAATGAGTAACCATACTTTCCTGTGGCCCTGTCAACCTGTCAACCTTTTTAATCTGTCAAGTAAGATTATTTTGGTATCTTAACAAAAATAAGTGTTTCTTGGACTTCTGCTAGCTAATCCTATATAATAAAAGACAAATATGCAAATTGTCCCCAAGAGCTGGAGTTCGACTGACAGGGAGTTAGACATGTGCTGACCACCAGGGGGCAGTGTGAAACATAGCAGGCATTGGCAATGCAGCGCTGGCAGCGGGCGGCAGTGGACGCACTGCCAGCCCCAATGGGCCCTGACAAGAGTGAGACCGTGGCAGGATGGTGAAGCAGGTGAGTGGGCAGCGTCAGACCAAGGCAGGTGCAAAGGGAGGCCTCAGCCGGCAACAGCTAGGGACCCTACCTGTGCACAAATTTTGTGCACTGGGCCTCTAGTCTAATCTAATAAAAGAGAAATATGCAAATTGACTGTAACTTCACTACGCCCCCAAGCCACGCCCACCAGCCGGTCAGAGCGACAATATGCAAATTAACCCAACCAAGATGGTGGACGGCAGCCACAGAGCTGGAGCAAGCAGGAGGCTTGGTTGCCCTGGCAATGGAGGAAGCCAAGCTTCCCACCTGCCCTGGCCCGGCTGTGGCCTCCACTAAAGGCAACAAAGTTTCAATTATAGAAGATAAATAAATCCCAGATACCTGCTTCCAGCCAGCCTCCACTGAGAGCTTGGGTGGCTAAGGGCCGTGGCCAGCCTGCAAACAGCCATCAGCCCCTCACCCAGGCTGGCCAGGCACCCCAGCAGGGACCCCCACCCTGAAAGGGCTGTGGCCAGCCTGCAAACAGCCATCAGCCACTCACCCAGGCTGGCCAGGCACCCCAGCAGGACCCCCACCCTGATCCGGGACACCCTTCAGGGCAAACCAGCCAGCCCCCACCCATGCACCAGGCATATAATAAAAGGGTAATATGCAAATTGACCCTAACAGCAGAATGACTGGGAATGACTGGTCACTATGACACACACTGACCACCAGGGGGCAGACGCTCAATGCAGGAGCTGCCCCCTGGTGGTCAGTGCACTCCCACAGGGGGAGCTCTGCTCAGCCACAAGCCAGGCTGATGGCTGCCAGTACAGCGGTGGTGGTGGGAGCCTCTCCTGCCTCCTCAGCAGCGCTAAGGATGTCCGACTGCAGTTTAGGCCTGCTCCCCGCTGGCAAGTGGACATCCCTCGAGGGCTCCTGGGCTGCCAGAGGGATGTCTGACTGCCAATTAGGCCCGATCCCCCAGGGAGCAGGCCTAAGCCAGCAGGTAGACATCCCCCAAGGGGTCCCAGACTGTGAGAGGGCACAGGTTGGGCTGAGGGACCCCCCCAAGTGCACAAATTTTTGTGCACCAGGCCTCTAGTATTTTTAATAATATGGCATAGTAATCCCTCCCCACCCTGAGTTCTCCTTTAACAGAATTGTCTTAAATGTGGATTTGCTTCTATAGACATTTTCAAAATCATGAGGATTTCAGTTTTAGCATACTCAAGTTACTCACTTCTTTAGGGAAAATTAGAAAAAGGTGGAACTAGGCTTGGGGAAGGGACAATAATGTAAAGTGGTTTAAAGACCAGAAGTATAAGTTTCTACAGAACAGTCTCAGGACAGAGACCTCCAGCTCCTGTGGTGGGGAGGGAGCTACAGTGGGGTAAGATCGTCTCTGGGACCTGGAAAACAAGATTCAGCCTCTTCAAAAAATAAAATTAGAAAATCATGAAAACTTTTTCTGTTAAAGACAGAGGGAACAAATTACCTTTGTACATATATATATAACAAAGCAGGACAAATTTATAAGCTTATTTAAAATTTCTAGAGAGTGTGCTGCTAATTTGCTGGAGAGTAGAAAAAAATAAGTAGAAATTTATTACACAGTACTCATTAAAACTGATTTACAGTGTGCAAAGTACCACTGTGTAGCCTGCTGTCTTTATTATTTTAGTTTAGCAAACATCAAATATACTTATAAGGGCTTACAGGGATTTACCAAAATCTTGGACTATCTTATCTGGTTTTGGGTTTCTCGATCATGAATTGCCCTGCAGTAGGGCATCCCACAGGGTAAACTGCATTGACCTCCCTTCCTTGACACTTGAGTGGTCTCAGAACATGCATTGTACTTTTGGAGACTGATGGGCCTCAGCTCAAGGCAGGCAGCATAGAGTGTATGCCACAGGAAGAATTTGTCTCTAAAACTGTAGGTAGTAAGTGGTCCTTCAAAAAAGAAAACTCCTTGACCTGTGCAGGCTGTAGAAATCATCATGGCATTGGGCCAGAGGGCCACACAGTCTGCTGGGTACAGCCATGCGTGGTGTGACCATTTTTCCAGATTTTTCCAGAGCTCAGCCACCAGGGGGAATATGTATGTGTGTATCTAGTTCTCTCCTTTTTCTTCTAGTATGCAAGTAAATAGTATACATTCAGAATTTTCATTTGAATATCAAGAATTAAAGAAAATATCTACTCTGAAAATCATTTGTTGCAAATTCTATCAGAATAATCAGTTAAGAAACTACTCGGAGCAAAGAATGAGGAAAAACATCTTGAAAGTTTAATTCCTTCCCTTTAAAAAGCTGCTTAGCTTTATACCCAAGCGAAGAAAAAATGACTGCAATATCATCATTGTTTAGCATTCTGAATCCTTAATAAATTAGACTGTTTTCTTTTGGCAGGATGGGAAGCACAAAATTCAAGAGGAAAATGTTAAACTAAAACAACCCCTGGAAGAAAGCCACAGGTGTTTGTTAATAAAGTATTAACTAAGATATAAAGTGATTTTGGGGTGGTGGGAAAGAGGGAGCTTTGGATATACATTGGCAATGACAAGGCCGGACACTGACTTCTGATATGAATATTCTAGAAAGACATTTTGAAGGGGTTGTGAGTAAATAACAAACCAAATAAGTATTGTAACACAGTAAACCAAACCCATTTAGTCCATTTCAGAAACAAGAAGGGTGATCAAGCTGTCCTCTGACTTCCCTAAAGTTAATTCCCAAATTCAAATTATCACTTAGAAGATTATCTCTAATCTCTGCTGGATTGGTATCCCAAGAAAATGAAGCACATGTCATAGCATTTCTTAGGTTCTTTCATGTACTTGAGTATGACTCACTTCTACCTGTGTGCTAAGAGAAAGGCAGTTATGTTTCAAAGAAATCCTCTAATTGCCCTTACTTCTGTTCTCTAAAGGGTCTCAAACAGTTTAATTTTATTCCTTTTTCTTAATTCTTCATCTGACTTGTTCACTACAATGAAGAGCATAATGTCGTTTAAAGGAAATTGACTTTTAACAATAATTCTAGAGGGTAGAAATATAACAAAATATTACATAATCCCACTGCATTAAAAAATGAAGGAGGTCCAACTATTTGACATCCTGGGAAAGGCAAAACCATGGAGACAGTTGCCAGGGTCTAGGGGGTGTAGATGGATGGATGAATAGGCGGAGCACAGAGGACTTTTTAGGACTGAAAATACTCAGTATGATACTGTGGTGATTATACCTGTCGTTATACATTTGTCCAGATCCATAGAATGTAGAAAACTAAGAGTGAACCCAAAGGTCAACTAAGGACTTTGAGTAATTATGATGTGTCAGTGTAGGTTAATTGATTATAACACCATGTACTACTCTGGTACAGTGTGTTGATATTGGGGAGAATGGATGAAATATATGAGAAATCTCTGGACTTGCTGCTCAGTTAGTTCTGCATTGAACCTAAAGCTGCTCTAAAAGTTAAGGTCTGTTGTAACAACAACAAGAGGTTAGTAACAAGGAAATATACCTGAGAAGGGTTCTGAGAGAACTATACAGTGTGTATTTTTTTTTTTTAAATATATTTTATTGATTTTTTACAGAGAGGAAGGGAGAGGGATAGAGAGTTAGAAACATCGGTCAGCTGCCTCCTGCACACTCCCCACTGGGGATGTGCCCGCAACCAAGGCACATGCCCTTGACCGGAATCGAACCCGGGACCCTTGAGTCCGCAGGCCGACGCTCTATCCACTGAGCCAAACCGGTTAGGGCTACAGTGTGTATTTTTGGTATCTGCCCGTCCAGGCTTTGATGCCTTAAGAATGAGGTTGTGTGTCATCAGGAGCAAAAGCAGCTGCTGGAGACGATAAATCGCCCAGTGCAACAGCAGGCTGATTATGCAGGTACTCAGCCTAAGTAGCCCTTCCTCACCACCAAGGCCGGAGTGATTCGAAAGCCTTTAACTTTAATCCCAAAGAGCCTGGTCTGACCAGGACCTACCTTCGACAGCAGCCCGATAACAACACATCAGCTCGCCCTGAGCCATGGAAGGGAATAGGCCATGAACTTAACCAGGACTAAAAAATTCCTTTCATGGTCAGCTCCTTCCAGACTAAAGTCAGTTTGTTACAGTCAGGAGTGTCTTACACACCAGGTTCTGATTTAGGCCCTGGGAATGTAAGACAATACTCCCTTATATCCGTAATGTATTTCACACTCACTATCTCCTTACAAATGTAATTCTCGTTGCAAAAGTTTAATCTATTCCTACCTTACAGATGAGAAAGTTTAAGGAGTACAAACAGGCTGGGTGGCACACCCAAGTTGCCTCTATTTGCCTTGTCTTCTCTTTTTAAGTACCTTGTCTCTGCACTACATAATAGCTGCTTCCAGGGCTGTCCTAAAACATACCCAGGCTTCCTAGGGTTGTGGTCCAAGGAACAGCTGAAAACCGGGTCACACTGGGGCTCACACTGCCACTCAACCGAAGGGAAGTGGAACCACTGTGGATCTTGGGATGTTTTCTCTAGAGCCAGAGTGGACCTGGCTTTCCTTTTAAGTTCTATTTGAAGTTGGGAAAATCAGCATTAGCTCAGCTTGGTCTCATGTGACAATCTCCTTCATAGCCCTGTCCCTGATTAGTAAAGTTCACATGTTAACATTATTAGGGAGAGGGGACTAATATATAACATAGTGAATAGATTTCTGTAATATTAGATAGAAAAAAGCTATTAAAACATGGTGTTGGCCATTTGGAGTTTTACATATTTGGAAAAATAAACGTTTACTGGGTAGTAAAAAGGAAACATAAACTATAACTCCAAATCTATTTTTAAACAGGAACCACAATGTAGACCAAGGATCAGATTCTAGTAATAAATGTAACAACCAAAATTTCCTCTCCTTGAAGGTCAAGATTAGTGATTATATTGGTTCCAACAACATAAAAGAACCATGGTATTGCTTTTTGTGTGCGTTTGAAATGATACAAGGGAAAATATAGTGAGTTGCTGTATTTACTGTTTCTAATTTTCCATTCTAGGCTGCAGTCTCCCCCAGTGGATGAACAGGTAACTGAGTCTCCTGTCCTGAGAAACATCTTGTAGAAACTGTGTGGTTGGCTGTGCCATGCCGGGCTGTACACAAAGCAGCATGGAGGTAGATGAATGCGTACAGGCCTCTGTGTCCTCGCCTTTTAACAGTGTCCCAAACAGACAGGCATCTGCCTGAAACTACAGGGAGCAGCGCAGCTTTGAGCAATCTCCTAAGTAAACACTAGTCCTCACTTGTTTGAAATTCTGTCACCTAAGAAATTGGTGCTAAGAGAGCTCACAGTTACCTCCCTTTCCCTTAGATTTCCCTATATAAAATGGAGAGAAAAAATATTTCTCAATCACTTAGAAATAAATAATGTAATTGTAAAATACTTTGCAAATAAGTAGTATATGCCAACCCAAAGAGAAAGATGATAAATGCTTCTATGTCCAAGTCACTCTGTTATTTATTAGGATATAAAGTGAAGCGTACTGTTTTGCATTCTCTCATAGAGTAACTCAAGAAGGATGGGGCTTTTTTTCCCCCACTTTTTACATTATACTTATATACTTTTTATAAATAAAATCATGTTAATTTACTATAAAAATTAAAGGAGCTCCAAGGCTAAAGATAGTAGTATCAGAGTTGTGTTAAGGTGGTGGGACTCTATGTAATTTTCTAGTTTCCAGATAGTCTGTACTGTGCTTATATTAATTTTGTAACTAACAATGCATATTCTGAAAGTATTACTATTTCTAGGGTTAAGGGAAACTAACTGGCTTACTGTGTGGTTTAGGATCAGCCGCTGCTCTCTGAAGAGCCACAGGTGTGTCAGCTATGCCAGGAAGGAGGCAGCCTAACAAAGGTAACAGTGGTGAGAAATGAGCAGGTTCTCACAGGGATGTCCTTACACTACTAGCCCCTCCCAATAGCAGGGCCTTTGCTGTGGAGAGTGCAGAGTGGGAGGAAAGCAAAAGGAACATGCATTTATTTATTTTTTTAATATATTTAATTGATTTTAGAGAGGAAGGGAGAAGGAGAGAAAGAGAGAGAGAGAAACATCACTAATGAGAAAGAATCATTGATTGGCTGCCTCCTGCATGCCCCCTAATGGGGATCAAGCCCAGAGCCCAGGCATGTGCCCTTGGCCGGAATCGAACCTAAGACCCTTCAGTCCACAGGCCGATGCTCTATCCATTGAGCCAAACCAGCTAGGGCGGAACATGCATTTATTCTGTACCTTTTTTTTTTTCAGTCATGTTGGTAAATCCCCATTAAAACAAATATAAGCAACTAAAATAATTTAACACAAATAAACATAAACTTATAAATATTCCTTGAGTGCCTGCTGTGTGGAATATGATGTTCCATGTGCTGGAGAAAACGATGAGCAAAGGGTAGACCAAGTCCCTGTTCTTGTGAAGTTAATGTCCTCTATACCATCATTTTAATAAATGAAGAACCTCAGGCTCAGAGATGATAAATACATTTCCCAAAGTTACTCAGCTCCTAAGTGCAGAGCCCAGAGGCAACGTGACTTTGATTCCAAAGTCTGCATTCCTCCCAGTAGTCCATCCTGCTTAGAACAGATAAGAAAGGTTTTGGGTAGGGGGGTTCTTTGAATTATTTGGGGAAATAGCCTCTGAGAGGGAAACGAGCTCTCTCCAATACCACTTGCTTTCCCTTGAGATCTTCAAGGGTCTCTACCTGAGCACCTTCGCGTTTGTTATGCTACTAGAGTAAGCAGAGGGAGAGAAATTCAGAAAAGAGCGTTTGACTGCCATAGCTGTGCCTTGCTCACAGTAGGACCCTCAGCATCTAATACCATGCCCTGTTCATAGTAGAGTCTCAAGAAATGTCATGGACAAGGAGTGTGAGAAACAAGTGCTTGGAAGAGATAAGAAAACATGCCCAACTTCTGGAGTACAACCTGCCTGCCACCATTTGTGATTATGCTGAATTTTAACCAATTACAGAAATATAGAAGAAACTGCTCTTCTAATTCTGGCTTCTCTCTTCTAAGCTATGCAAAATAACTCGGTGTGTCAGGAAAATTCCTCCCAGGCTTTCAAATAGAAGTGACCCCCTACCTCCACTGCACCCTCTGAGAGATGAGTTGTTAGAGAGAAAGTAGCATTATTTGTAGGGGAAATTATTCATCACAGCCTCTGTATGGGGACTCTTGAAGCTGTGTGCACCACCCTACCACAGCCTGACCAGTGGCACTGCCGTGGTCACCCACCTGCTGCTCTGCCGCTTGGCCTCTGAAGATGCAAAGTGCTTAATAAAGAGACTAATGTCCCTATAAACAGGATGAGGAAGTTGCACTGATATCCCAAAGGATTTGCTTGTAGAGCATCACAGGAAAGCATTGAGCACATCTGTGTATTAGGAATTATACTTTCAGTTCATGCCCAGCACATGCTTTAATCTTGGGCTGCTACCCAATCCATAGCAAAGATGGCCTTACTTGGAGAATGCATAGGTGTTTGCAAACTAATTTTAGAATTAGCCTACCTAACAGTGACTATAGCTAATGAAAGTATGTATCCTAAAGATAAAGAATGTGTGTATTCTGTCCTTTTTAATTCTCTTCATTTAAAATCTAAGAACTAGACCAGTGATGGCGAACCTATGACACGCGTGTCAGAGGTGACACGCGAACTCATTTTTTGGTTGATTTTTCTTTGTTAAATGGCATCTACACTAATAAAAGAGAAACATGCAAATTGGTGTCACTCCGCTACCCTTCCCATTGGCTAATCAGCATATCCTTATGCAAATTAACTGTCAGCCAAGATGGTGGCCGGCAGCCATGCACTGAAGCGAACAGGGAGGCTTGCTTGCTCCAGTGACTGCGGACTCCAACGTTCCCCGCCTGAGTTGCCGGCCTCTCAGCTGCAACTCTAAGCAACTATGTTGCAAATATAGAAGCTAAACAAAACCCCAGAAAACGGCTTTCAGTCAGCTGGGCTTCAGCCAGCCGGACCGCAACATTGTATCAGTGTTTTCAGGCCTCAGAGCTAAAGCTGGCCCAGAATAGAAAAAAAAAGAAAAAAAGGAGCTGTTGGGAGCTTCAGTCACCAGTCACCCGCCAGCCGGAAAACGGCCCTCAGCCAGGCTGGCCAGGCACCCCAGTGGGGACCCCCACCCTGATCCAGGACACCCTTCAGGGCAAACCAGCCGGCCCCCACCCGTGCACCAGGCCTCTATCCTATATAGTAAAAGGGTAATATGCCTCCCGGCACCGGATCAGCGGAGCAGCGAGGCCTCCCGGCACCAGGATCAGTGTAACAGGGGGCAGCGCCCAAACCCCCTGATCGCCCTGCAGCTCTGTGTGTGACAGGGGGCGGGGCCACAACCTCCCTATCCGCCCTGCTCTGTTCGTGACAGGGGAAGGCGCCCCAACCCCCTGATCAGCCCTGCTCTGTGCCTGATGGGGGGAGCTCCCTAATCCCCTGATCGCCCTGCGGCTCTGTGTGTGACAGGGGGGAGCTCCCCAACCCCCTGATTGCCCTGTGGCTCTGTGTGTGACAGGGGGGAGCTCCCCAACCCCCTGATCGCCCTGCGGCTCTGTGTGTGACAGGGGGGAGCTCCCCAACCCCCTGATCGCCCTGCGGCTCTGTGTGTGACAGGGGAAGGTGCCACAACCCCCTGATCGCCCTGCGGCTCTGTGTGTGACGGGGGCAGGGCCACAACCTCCCTATCCGCCCTGCTCTGTGCCTGATAGGGGGGAGCTCCCCAACCCCCTGATCGCCCTGCAGCTCTGTGTGTGACAGGGGAAGGTGCCCCAACCCCCTGATCAGCCCTGCTCTGTGCCTGATAGGGGGGAGCTCCCCAATCCCCTGATTGCCCTGCGGCTCTGTGTTTGACAGGGTGCGGCGCACCAACCCCCTGATCGGCCCTGCTCTGTGTGTGACAGGGTGCGGCGCCCCAACCCCCACCCCCCCATGGGCCCTGCTCTGTGTGTGACAGGGTAGAGCCATAACCTCTCCATCGGCCCTGCCCTGAGTGTGACAGTGGCGGTGCCCCAACCCCCTCATTGGCCCTGCTCT